CATCTGTTATCCACAGGAATTTAAGCTATCCTAAATTAAGTCTAATCCCAGAAAATTTATGTATGTACATTTTTTGATTCATGCAATTACTGTGTTGAAGGAGCTCATTACTGTCACATTCCTTTCAGTGTTTTGCTCTTTGCTGTTGCCCGTATTTCAGCATAGACAGAGGCGCTTTTTTTCAGACAATGAGAAATATTTAGAGTATGTAAAGGCCTGATGGCAGGAGAGACATAGACAGGACGTGTTTGGAAGGGACACTGCGGAGTAGTGGAGAGGCTGCATTTGTGTTAACTCTCTCAAGTGGCACAGCTGTGTTGGTGGTAGAAGAAATGAAGGGAGCTTTCTTCAGACAGCAGTGTCCGCAGTACTCAACTACACAGTGCTCCAAAGGGCAGGTTAGGTCCTTATAGCTTTTGATATGAGTCTTGTCTAAGGTTAGGCAGATTATTTCGGCTAAGATATAATAATGACTGGGAAGCCTTTGGAGGAGGAACCCTTCGTATAAATATTTAAATGTGTTGAGTACTTGTTCAAAGAAGCCAGTTTCTTGGTAGTGTTTTTAAAATATATATTAAATTATGGCACACACAGTGTATTTTGCAGAGTATACATCTGTTTGTTTTAAGTGGTTCATACGGAGTGTGATCAGGTAGTTGGGTAAGTGAGAGGTTGGATGTTTGGCCTCAGAGAGTAGTAGGTAATGGATTTTACTCTACCTGGATGCTGGTAACGAGTACCACAGAGACTTATCTTAGGACCTGCACTTTTAACTTTTTTGTCAGGGACCTGGTTAGGTGAGAGAGTGGACGCTTGGCAAGGTTTAAGGGACACAAAATTGGGGCAACCAGTTAATGGTGTCGAGAGAAGGCCAGAGGAAGCTAGGCAGGCTGGGTGACCAAGGTGGTCGGGGGCTGGAGCAATTGCCCTGGGAAGACAGACCCGGTATTGCTGAACAGCAAGGCTTACTGGGTGGTATTTTAAAAAGTGGCAACACAGTCTGTAACATGAAAGACAACGCAGAAAATTGCAGGTCACTACAGAACTTTGGAATGTTAAGAAATAATTGTAAAAGGCAAAACACAGCACAAGGAAAAAACAATGCAGGAATACTGAGATCAGGGTGAAGTTACAAATTTGGGATTACGTTGTTTCTCCATCTTTATACGGTTAGTAATGATAATGAAGTAGCAACTGCAGCAAGTGTACTGTGTTATTCAAGTAATGAAGGGTGCAATAAGATAAGTTAATCAATTAATAGAGAAGTTAAAGAAATGCTTTTGTCACCTCACGCCATGTCATGCAGAGCTGTAGTGAAATGCACAGCCTGCTAGTAAAGATGAGTCACTGGCTGAGATTACAAGTGTCAAATGAGTGAGTGCTGGAACATTTGATAAACTGTATAACAAAGTGTCACAAGAGCCAGCTGTTCTGTCCATCCCTTTTGGGTGATTTTATTCCTTGCAATTTTGTCTCTGATTTTTTTTTTTTTTTTTTTTTTTTTTTTTTTGAGATCTGGAGCTCAGTTCAGGATCAGGATACTAAAATGCACTGACACTGTCATTTGTATGATGTTAAATGGGATACATCTTACTTTTGACCAATAGATTAACAAGCTAGCCTGTGTTTTATGGCAGGAGAGTTCAAATATTTGCTCTTCAAAGTAAGAGTTGGGAGGGTGGGAAAGAAGTAATTGCAGCCTCTCAGAAGACGAAAGATTTTCTTATTTTCTTCATCTTCTTTTTTAAGCAACACATCTGAAAGAATGTTCTCTGGCGTCTTTCTTTTCCTGAAGGCCTTTAGAGCAGATCCCGTGACATTTACAAGAAAAGGAGTCCAATAATTGAGTCACATGTAAGAGAATGATAACTTTAATTAACATCTATATAGCATACCGTATGACCAAAGCATTTCTCAGATAATTGACAGAACTGGTGAAGGTTACAGTCCAAAACAGCATTACTGTGGAAGAAGGCAGATCAAGTGTACCGCCAGCCTTCACTCCTAGAGAACTTAGGATGGTATTATTGTGCTTTATAGAGGGAAGAGAGAATTTTGTTTTTTAAGGTTGTTTTACACACTCTTCCTGTTTTAGATTAGAAAAGTGGAGAGTTGAGTCACCATGGCTTTGGCTTGTCAAAATAATCAGGACCGATAGGTGAAACGGAACTGAGCCCAAATCTCAACAAAAGAATATTTGTATTTGGAAACAAAATGTAAAATCCCAACCCCCCCGCCCCCCTCCTCTTTCTTTTCCTTTCCCTATTTTGTTTTTACTGTACTTGCTGGTCTGGGAGCTATTAAAATAGAACTAGAAAAGCTCTGTTCTGCTCCCAGACTAGCTGTGATACCATCCTGTTGGAATCTGTGTTTCTGAGATCTACCCCAGAGAGACTCAGTGAAAGTTGAGGTAAGCAAGTGAACTTCTCAGTACTTGACTTGCTACTTAAGCATTAATTTGGCACTGAAGAGGGGGAGTCATTAGGGGACCTATGCGTTTGCCTTTTCCATTGCTTTTCCTGAACAAATTTGATCTGTTTGAGACTTCTCATAACTGCCCTTACTTCATTTTTCTTGCATTTTATGCTAAGGTATAATAACACAAAACTGTCACCGACTGAGCCTTCTGTTTAATCCCCTCCTTTTGATGTGACTGTAGGAGTCAAACAATGGGTAATACAATTCCAGGTTTACATAGATGAGACAAACCTGAGGAACTTCTGGGTTAGATAATTTCTGATGTGAAGCATGACGTACAATTTTAATTTCTGTGAACTGAAACCAGATGCTGCCTCTGTTTAAATGGAGGTTATGGAGCAGCCCTCCAACAAGAGGAGAAATTGGATATCTGAACAGAACTATGAAAGCATCCAGTGGTGCAGGGTAGTGCTTCAAGTCCCAGGAACTTCTTCACTTCCTATGGTTGTTCTTTGACTGTGGTAGTCAGCATTCAGTGAACTGCAGAGAGATTTAAGAGGAAAGCACGAGTAGGTATGTTTTTTTCCAGTTTTGTGCAACAGAGGTTTCCTAGGAAAGGTCAGTCCTGTAAGAAAGAAGTGGACAAAACCCCTGATCCCATGGATGATGCAGATGCAGGGAGCACAATGGGAAAGTGTAAGAGAAATTGTGTTACTCATTTTGGACTCTCAGGATAAAATTAAATGGCATTAATTTTACCATTGCATCAGCTTATCAACCTATAACTGCATCTGATGAAATGTATGCTTTGAAGTTTGGGCTGGCCAGAGCTGTTATCTACAGGACTGGTCAGAGGGAAAGGGACCTGGAGTCTGCCAGGCTTTCAAGGGGAAGTTTAAATGTCTGTATGGCACACAAAACAAAGAAGAACTGTTTGGATAACGCATAGAAGGAAGAGGAAAGGTGGAACTGGCAACAGAGAAGCGAGAGGTTATGAAAGCAGGAGTAGGACTATATTTATTTCTGTGAGAGGGAATACAATCTACTTGTTAGGTAGCCAAATAACTGGTATATTTCACTGAGACTTTCCTGAATAGGAAATGACCTTTGTATACTTTGTTGAAAGGTGTTCTGTGAACTGGAAAAGGAGAATGAGTTGCCCGTAAGGCGGTCCGCTAGAATCCACATTACAGTGATACAAAGACAGCAGTGTGTGACCAAGAATTAATTTTCCCATTACTTCTCTTAAGAGACTATTCCATCAAATGATTCATTTCTTATTTTTAATTTTGAAGAGGGAAAAACAGCATGTGTTTCATGGAGTATTTTTCAAAATAGTATTTTGTCCAAAAAAAAAAAAAAAAGGAAAAAACTGGCATATTTGTTTTGTGTATCCAGCTTTCTGTCATTTGCAACTGCTTGACCATCAGGTGTGGTCAGTGTTTTGGGACATTCCTATCCATCTTCATGGCCTTTTCAGCATCTTTCCATCATCCAAATTGTAGCTGTTGTGTTTATCTGTTCTTAGTGTTCCTGTAGAACAACCCGCTTTCAGGGTCCGAATCTTCCCAAAGATCCTCGAGTTAATTGAGTCTGGAGGTTTTGGTAGGGGTCTGGCTGTTTGCTTACATCTCACTATTCCCACATTGGAATTAGTAAATCAGGAAAAGGTTTTCTTCTGGCGTTGGTGGGGAGGGCAAATGACAGGGGACCAGAGAGGGAGACTGCCGTTTATTTTAATAGGTATCATCTCTTTAGTGATATTTTCCCATATTTAGAGACTAAATTCTTCCTTATCCAATTGTAACCTTTTTCTTTTGCTCCACCCTTTCCTTTCCACCCTTTCAATTGTGAGCAGGACACATTTTGTGCTTAGTTGGCTCATTGTGGAGTGAAGCAGATTTTAGTGCAATTAACTAATGGAATTTCTTTTTCATTTACAATTAGGCAGTTGGTGAGAGGGTGGAGCCCCTGGAAAGAGATACGTTGCCTTTTTGTTTTCGTTGAGCATTGTGCCCATTGGTTCACCAGACATGTACAAAGAGGAAAATCTAAAACTCTGAACTTGACAAAACCAAATGTAAAAAAATAGCATTTAGGTTTGAAAACACAAATCTTTTACTGCATAAATACGTATTTTGCCTGTTTATAATGTTGTTTTAAATGCAACTAGGACTTATTTTATGTGAAAGGAAACCACATCTAGCCCAAATAAATCTTGAGCAAAATCTAAAATCTTGAGATTGCAGAACTGTTGAGTTCAGCATAGCAAGCAGTCTTCTGAGTGCTGGGAATTTTAATTTTGTATGTGAAGTCCAGCTTTCTTGGATAAAACAGTGAAAATACCTCTTGGATCTGTTTGCAGTTAATAGAGGTTTTGATATGCCTGGTTTTACTTGCATGAAATTGAAGTGATCAGACATGAATCTGCTATCCTGTGAGGTGGAAGGACGTTGGAACAAAACCCAGAAGCTTATTGTGGGGGGAGCCTGATAATCTTTTTATTTTTTTAATGCTAATTCTCCTTTTCCAGTGGGAGTGAATGATGTCATCCTGTCTCCTCCCACTGTGTAAACTACGCTTGTGTCAAAGTGTTGCTGCCTCTTGTCACAGAGAGAACAGTTCCCTTAAATGCAGCTGCAGCACTTTTGTGTGATACCTGTCAGAGCCATTCACAGGGCGAGCTTGGGTTTCTAACCATGATGGCAAGATTGGTCTTTCTCCTTTTCTGTGGATATATTGCAGTAAACCTGGGAAATGCTCAGAAATTGCCAAGAGGCAAGTAGCTATGACAACTTTCTGGGGTTTTGTTTGTTTTTCTTCTGTTGTGGGGTTTTTTCTTGGTTTGTTTTTCATGCTTGTTTTTTGCCATGGAAATTCGCTTTCAACATGATAGGCAAGATAAAGATGATCGAAAAGATAAAAGAAGATCAGCCAACAGGGCAAGGTCCAGGTACCAGAGAATAACTTTAAAGCTCTTGAATTAAAGAATCACAAATGTTTCCGCTGTGTCTTGTGACTCCAGTGAGAAGTACTGTGAAACAACATAACTCTATGTAATGATTTTATCATGATTTGGACAGTGCTGTGCAGGTCTGTGGTGCAGGATCTTGAAGAAAATGTGACTTAAAAAAGCACTCTCTGTTGCTGGCAGATGATTTCAGTTCTGTCTTGAAATAACTTCTATGCTTTCCATTTATATCCATCGTTAGCATTTGAATAGGAATTGTCTTTTATAGGTCAGGTTGCATGCATTTTGAGGGAGAAAAGTACGGTTTATTAAAAGCAATTACTTTTTAAACTGTTCTTTCCACAAGAAGAAGAGAATCCCCTCAGACCTGTGTGAATATTGAACTATTCGTTTCTCCTGGAGTTTGGAAATAGTTCTTTAGCATTGATAGGGATCTTTTATCTTCCTTGTTAACGTGCCATTGGCATTTTAGGAGTATTTTATTGCTGCAGGAAGAACACTCCTAGCATGAAATGAAAATAATATTTCTGTATCTAGATTGTAAACCACTTTGCAGTACCTTGGCATTAAAACAGCACTTTCACAACTGTTTCTGTACTGCACGTATTGCTCTTGCTTTGTAGAAGTGCTTGCCTGAGTCCAGTGTGCTTTGTAATGGATTTCACATCTGCAATCTGCTAAAACCAGTAACGCTTAGAAAGGAAGCTGTGATGTAGTTTCTTGTGACAATGTGTATAAAGAAATCAGGACTTTGAGGGCTTCCTATGAGTTTCATAGGTGGGGAACCTAAAAATATTTTGGGGAGGAGAGGTGATTTTCATGCTCCACCTCTTTGCTCCCCCACCCCCACCCTGAAGCTTCTTTAATAGATTTTTTTTTTCCTGATGTTCTTTTGAAAGTGTCTTCCTATTTATTTATTTTAAGCTCATCTTCTGAAGTCAATGTGGAATTTTCTGCATGCTGCTAATGTAGTTTGTGAGCAATTGCTGCACGTTTGTTGTTCAAGTTGAATAGACCACAAGACAGTTTTATCAAAAAAGCCATCTATAAGTAAACTATTCTAGCAGTTTTCATAGCAGAGGATTATACTGAACAGAGAAAAACCTTGTGTGCGTGGCCTTTTTTAAAGGAAAAATCTTCTCTAGTACTGCTCTTTTTAAATGATTTATCTCAACTCTCTGCTCACTACCAGAGAGTGATGGCTGTACCTTTATTGTGAGTGTGAAGTTCAAAGCTACTGATCTACTGTAGTCAGTGGGAGATGAACTCTGGGATGCTTTTTCTCCTGTCCTAAAATCTCATTGCAGAAGTGAAGTTGCCAAAAGCATAAAGCTGCAGGGGGAAACTTAATTTCTTGTCAGTTAAATTATATTTTTAAGATTCTCCCATTGCATTGTTGAAACATCAGTCTGATTCAATTCTTTGCAGCTGCCTCTCAGGTTGTTATTTACATTGGACTGCACTAAAAGAAAAAAGCTATATTAGTACCTACCTGTTGTCTGTCTGGAAACATTCAAAGCACAGTCTTTTAGTACAGCATTCTCCTGTTTGACAGGGAGCACAGAATGTTCTTCTAAACAAATAATATATTTTGACCTTTAGGTGCTTTTAAAATGAGTGATAGTATTCTGTTAAGAGGACTAGTCTGCCCTGCTAAGCAAGCTTAAATTACACTGAGCTCTTCTACTCTCTTCAAGTCACAAACTGCTGAGCTAAGGCTCCAGATTCCCTGCTGCTCTATCTATAGAGACCAGTGGAATCAATTTCATAACTTGAGGGAGAATGATCTGGCCAAATTTGCTTTCTAGTGATGAATGTGTTCATGTGAACAGGTTCTCAATGTAAACCTTTTCTCCTTATTACTTTGGAATCCTTGTGCTCAGGTCTTCCCTACAGGAGCTGAAACACACTGATCTCTGGTCTCATGGACTGAGATTCCCTTGCAGTGATACAGGGTAGAAGGGACGTCTTGCTTCATGCAGCTGCAAAGGAACAGGGCCAGTACACCATTCAGATACCAGTGACTTCCGGATCTACTGGACAGATTGTGTGCAAATACGCTCTTCAGGAGGCTGGAACACACGTGGCTCGCTTTACCAGTATATATATTTTTTTGCTTTCCCCTCCACAAGTGTGTGACTAGAATGGCAGAGAAAGTGTAGTTGTTCTCAAATGTTCTTTATCAATGATTTTTTTCGTTAACTATTTTGACTTCAAAAAAAAGTTCAGGCAGTGTTGTAGGCATAGTATGGGAACACTACATACCTTAGTCAGAATCAGGGAAGTATCAGTTTCATTTTCTCATGGAAACTTTATGCCGTTCCTATGTATATCCTTCATTGCAATAGGTTTGCTAATATAGAAGAAAAGCCTCTACTTATATCTGGTCCTATTACAGTGCCTGTGTACAGGTGAACACCATTTTTTACATTTCACAGATGTAAGTGAAGTCAATTTAATTGCAAAGGGAAGTTTAGTGGTTATTGCATTTTGCTGTGAAGGGGTCTTCTTTTATCAAGTATTGGAGCCACTGTCCCTTCAGCTATGTCCAGCTTCTAGAGTTTTGTGTTTCGTCAGAAAGAAGAGGGACTCAGGCATTTTGACTTGATGTTCTGTCTTCCATTGTGCCAGTATGCCATGCCATCCAACATATAAAGCTTCAGTTCAACACTGTCATACATGAAATATTTTAATGATGGAAATGCTTCATAGGAGGAAACAGTGGTGGTGCATAGGTGTAGGAGTTACAATTTGTCATACTTCCTCTAATCTTTATGATTCCATTGAACAGAAATGTTCCATCCTTGATGAAGGTAGCATGGTCTTTCTAGACAGGAATTGAGTACAGAGAAAAAGTCTTGTCTTTAGAGGATGAATTAGTAAGCAGAGCATCCTGAATCTGAGAGGAAGATGAAAAAGCAAAGTCACAGAATCACAAAGGAACAAGTTACAGTACATAATTCACAAGACTGTACTGCTTTGTAAACTGTTTCACTGGCATCTTTCCAGCTGGACCTGATACAGATGCTGTTGAAGGCAACAGTTGTGGACCAAGTTCTCAGTGTTTGGTAAAACAACATTTCATCATTTTGATTTTGCCAGTTGACTTTCCAGTTACAACATAGATGTGCATAGAAATGCACTTTTTCACAATAATCTCTCTTTCAGATAGGTTTTGTATATCTTCATGTGCTGTTTTCCTTTGTTAAAGCTGAAAAGAATTTGAGGCCATTTCCTTATTATAAACTTCCAACTTTATACATTTTCAAAAAAGAAGAGTGATTTTTTTGTTTTGTTTTGTTTTGCATTTATTTTATTGCCATGTTTCTGGCCTCTGTGGTTTACCAACTGTTTGCATTAGTCACTAGGTAGACTGGAATTCAGGCCATCCTTGTTGGACTTTCCAGGAGTCAGGTCTGTCCTGTTCTGCTTTCCAGGAAACACTCAGGAAACCTGAATTCACCTTCCTCTTTGTTGCTGCCTTCTCAGGAGAAAAAGAATACAGACTTGATGTTCCTTGTGGGACTGTGAAAAGGCCCGACTTACAGACTGATGTAGGGAAAACCAGATCCAAAACTGTCTTGTTTCTGCAGTTGTCAGCTGTGGGGATAAGAGAGGAAAAATAATAGTTTCACTCTATCTAACTTTTTTGTTTGGTAAGTATACAGGAATGTTAGCTGGTGGTTATCTGCAATATTTTCAAAGGTTTGCTTTTATGGTAATTATAACTGACATCCGCTTGAGAGTGAACACTGTATTTACAGTGTCCTTCTGAACTTACCATTGACATTTGTGAAAGGAATGGGGAAATTTTATTCATTGCTAAATTTGTTGGCTGTGCTACGTTATGTAATACTTCTTCCTAACCAGAGGTTAAACGAGGCATGTGTTTTCACTTACTGGTGTCAAGCAGTTAAAACAATGTTGAGTTATTAAAATGTATCCTAGTCACTATACTGAAACAGCCAAGTTAATCATTACGCTTTTTTGTCCCCTGGTCCCCAGCTTAACAGCACCCCTCTGGTAGCTGTAGGCTAGAAAAACAGAGATTGTAACACAGAAAAACATCTCCTGAAATTTGCTTGTTCGAGCAGATAATGAAGCTGTTGTATCAACATATCTCAAAAGGAGTGAAATGACATGTGGTTTTGTGTGTTTCTTTGTCCATAGTTTACAAAACATCTTTTTGGGGACTATTTTTCAAAATACACAGTCCTTTAACCTTTAAAAAACATATTTATTAAGGAGAGCCAGAACTATGGAACTTTTTTTTTTTTTTTTTAATGTCTGTAAAGATAAATCCAAAATATTGTGATCTTTAGGTGCTTTTAAAATGAGTGGTAGTATTCTGTTAAGAGCTCTAGTCTTCCCTGCTCAGCAAGCTTAAATTGCACTGAGCTCTTTTGCTTTCTTCGAGTCACAAACTGCTGAGCTGAGGCTCCAGAGTCCCTGCTGCTCTATCTATAGAGACCAGTGGAATCAATTTCATAATTTCATACCCTGCAGGGGAATGATCTAGCCAGATTCGCTTTCTAGTGATGAACGTGCTCATGTGAGCAGGTTTGTGTGAAATACTTCTCTTACATTGAATGGCTCATCGTGACAGTGAAGTCCTATTGAGAAGTCCCAAAGGGATTCTTTATGTGGTATAACTGAGCGGTTAGGGATTTCAGTCAGTAAATATATCATGGCAAATTTGGCTCCTCCTTTGCTGAAAATGAAAACAACCCATAGGAATCCTGGCATTTTAGCAGACCATTTAATCAGTTACCTTATCAGACAGACCAGTTGTGTCCCGGGATCGCAT